TTCCAGAAATCATCCATACCCACCCCACAGAGGAATTTGGAATTTCCAAAGAGTAGGGGGGTCAGACAAAGAACAAAAATTACAGAGTTTGTATGGAAGAAATGGAATTTCTGGGGGGGTAGGGGGGTGTCTTAAAAAAATTCCTCCGTGAGGGGGTATGGATAATTTTTGGAACTACACAATTCCAGAAAATATTTATACTTCCCCCATCCTGGAGAAGGATTATAGTTTCTGTTAAGGGTTAGGGAAGATCTGAGAAGGGTATAAGATGAGGGGTAGACAGCACACATTATTAGATTATTATTAATAGCAATTCTTTGTACTTCTAAACAGAAAGTTAATCAGATCAATTGAAAAGTTTAAACGCAGAAAGAAAGAGAAAATGGCAGCGTAAGTGAGATTTAAATTCTTGACATAATTATTTAAAGCAAAAATTAAAGAAATATTGAAACCATTTGTACATTCAAAATGTTCATTCACAATGTACTATTTTCGCACCATGAAATAGCACATTCAAATCTTTTTGTCATTTAAACAGAATGTTTGGAAACCAAAAACTAGTACAGACTGTAAACACAAGGAAACCTCCATCCTTTTGCCAGGAAGATGATGGTAAGATTAAACAGAAAGTGTAGGTCTTGTATTTATGAATTGGAAAGGTAATGAAAACAGAAAAATGGGATAAAGAGTGTTTGGAAAAGTTCATTTAACTGTCTGAATMATTCTTAATAAAATAACTGGAATAGGTTAAAATAAATGAAACTGATATCCTTTAAAAGTAAATTCGTATATATTACATAATACAGAGCTAAAACTTACCAACTTTTGGTTATTTGAAGAACAACATACTTGAATAGTGTCTTGTAGAAAGAGTATGAGTAGCATTACCAGGCCTTTTAGCGAATACATAACCACAGGAACCCTACACATCTGGAGTGGATGGGCGTAGTCTGATAATGCTAATAAGTAATTTGGTTGGAGTTAAAAACTCGTTATCTACCTCTTTAAATCACACTAGCATTATTTTTTTTGGCGACTCTAAAGTTGAAGGCACAGTTCAATTGGCACATAGTTTTCGTATTTTTTTAAATGACTAAAGTGTTGTTAGTATGAAATGCCGCAACAAAATTGGATGGATAGTGAACCTCATTAGTCGCTATCAGCTCAATAAATTATAATTCATACAATCAGAATAAAAGAAATGATTATCAGGAAAAGGAAACCCCTAGTGCCGAATAGAAACCCTGCTGGGCCAAGGCGATGTTTCTACCTTGCAGGGCACAGCGGGAAATATTTCTGGATTGTACTTTAGTATAGCCTCAGTACACTAAAAATATTAGCCAATTATACCAATTTATACCTTCCGATTCATTATATTTACTCTTATTATAATCTCAGAGTATTTATCAAGATAGATACTTACTAATACGTCAGTACCAATGGTTTCCCTCTTAGAATTCTGACGTCGAGGTATCAAGCCAGTTAAAATCAAATTCGCGAACTGTTTGACTTTCGTTTATATCTTATTTTGACACGTGTTCAACAAATGTTTCTTGGAATATTACAAATAATTTAACCAGAATATCAAAGAGTTCATTGCGATGACTTCCGCTTGAGCATCCGCATGTTCTAAGCTAATTGCAACCAATCGACCAGTAATTGGAGGTCCACCATGTGATGAAAATGTCACCATACTTCGTTGATAACTATGAGCGATAAATTTACGGAAAAACCAGCTGAGCACCCACGGCACCGAAAACATCGTGAAGGTGAACGTTTTTAGATATCTTATTTGATTTTTATTTGCTTTCAATCAAACGTCAACGTTACATGTCAGTCCTTTTAGTAAGGCCCAAACATGTTGTCGTAAGCGAAAGTCAACTTTAGACAGGCATTATATTTAGTATTTACGATGAATGACTTGCAATACCGTAGCTATAGTGTAAGTTTCTTTTTCGGGTCATTATTATATAAAACGAGGCGAAAGMAAGACACGAGAAGCGGTATTGAAAGTGTTCAATATCAAGGTTTTACTTTCGCTGGGAAGCATTAGAAAAACAAACTTCAAGTCCACATATAAAGCTTCTTTAGCAAGAAAATAAATATCGTGACTCACTCTCTACACATTTAGGATTATCAATGATTAATATTTATATAATATTATCATTAGGAAGAATATCTTGAAATTCCAGATTTGTGTAGAGTCATTAACCCTTGGCTATATTTTGATTCATGTTGTGTTTTGTTTCATTTTCTTTCAGCTGGCAGCGACGACGATGGCTGGGGAACAGACGAATGGGATAGTGATGGCTCACAAGATGTATGTTGTACCAGTCATTTGTCTTATCATCACACCACACAATCATATGAAATTTTGTGTGTGACGTCATTGCCGCCATCTTGGAAGAATGCACCAAAATTTCTCGCTCACTTTTTCGTTTAAATTCTTTCACCGACTGATAAAGCAATCCCAATTTCAGGGGCGGCGGAAGCTRAAAATCTTTGGGGGGCACTGCAAAAATCTTTTGGGGGGCACTGAAGATTATATTTAACGCTATGTGTTAATRACAATGTTTTGTTTGATTGTAGACGCATGCGCCGTAAAACAATGACTAAGGATCAATATTTATTGGGCGGCCAGGCCCCCCAAAAAAATTTGGTGGGGGGCACATGCCCCCCCGGCCCCCCCGGTTCCGCCGCCCCTGAATTTGTCATTCTCTTATTCATACCAAAAATCTAATAATATCTTTTCTTATCAGCTTTAATTTCCGGTTAAACTGGCACTATTATTTGCGTTTCATGGTTTCAGGGAGTACAAATGTTGAGAGAAAGAGAGAGAGAGAGAGAGTTAAAAATGCAAAAGATGAAGTGGTGACAGTTGGTAGTTTGAATTAGGGCTGAAATATAACTGATATAAAAATGCAAAAGAGTCAGTGCCATAACGGAAATRATGTCTGCACGAATCAAGCGTCGGCAGAGGTTCCAATGACTTATTCTTTCGTTTTGCCTCCATTAGGCGTCGTCCGACGGTGATTACCTCGAACCTGAGGAGGACCTCTCCAAAACAGGTACTTTTTTAAAATCAGTAACTGTCTTAGTCACAGAGTTCGAGTTGTATGAAGTATTCGTATTCAGTATTACGTGAATGGTACTTGTTGAACCTCATGTAGTGACCTTGCTGTTTCAGGTTCCCTAGGAAGAGAAGCTGTTTCCGTGCCTACTGGATTGGTAAGAAAACGAGCCTCTTAAAACACCAAACAAACTACGTTTTACAMTATGACAAATTAAGCACATTCTTAGGCATCTCGTTCTTTAAATTTGAGGTTAAAATTTCATCATTTTTTWATTTAGATTTCAAATATTATTATTTTTCAGGTTGCACAGCTTCGAGCAGGCATCGCTAGCAGTCTTACAAGATCACACAAGGTAACAACACTTACGTGTCTATATATTTACGTTTCTTTGGGAATGAAGTTACTAAATTAAGAAAAAGAAAATGCTACCAAGAACAGAAGGCCACACAGGGGATTTGTTTATTGTTATTTTATTTGACTTAGCCCGACYCTTACTCTTAATACAAATTAAAAATCAAAGAATCAGTGAAATATTAATTAATCGAAATGATGCTATTAGAAAGGCTACGAATCTATTATAGGTTTTTTCCGCTACTTAAATAGAACCTAAAAACAATATAACAAAAAAATCTCTGACACATTATAACAAAAAATCAGTTGAGGATAAAGTTAAATAACGGTAGATTCGCGGGAAAATGGATTTTTTTTAAAAACGATACTTCAAAGTTTCTCTTAGGGCAGACATGTTTTAGCTAGAGCATGCAACAACGATAGGAATTTTCTCCTTTGGAGAATAAAAGCTCTTGTCCGTCATGCAAAAAATTGTGTCTTTCCGGCTTCCATCATTGCTGCCGTGAACCCTCCTAATGCGGAAAATTGCAACCAATCACTAGGCGATGCATCGTGCAGTAAATCTCGTAAGCAARTTTACCACTCAACCGATACAAACTTAACTTCGGTCCATTGACATTGCGTTACAAATACACGTTACGGATACATGCAAAATACATTAAATCCTCTAACTTTGTTTGCCTACTTAATCGAGAGTTASAAACCCAGCTTAGGATGATTCTGTAAGTTACTTTGATATGCGACGTATAGTACATGATTTCGTTTATTATTGACGTCATTGGTCGTATATTGTGATCGGGTCTKACTGAACAGGTTCACGATCGTGATTACTCGCCATAATATTTATATCTTGGGACATGAAATATGAAAACGCTCAGAAATCACTTGGTATGGAGGAAAAACGTGAAAGTTACCGATAACAAATCTATGGTTCGTTGAGTGAATTACTCTTTGTTACTATTAATTTAATAATCACTAGATCTTTATTAGAGTTTAATGATAATGATATTAATATATGTAAAGCTTTGATAGATTGAATTTTGCTAAGAAGTCAGTTTTTAGTTTATGAAAATAGTGTTATTTCGTACACATTTCTCATGTGTAGTTAGAATCAGAGGCGAAACGTTATATTACTGATTGTTTTCACTAAATATTTGAGATCTCCTAAGAACTCTTCTACTAAGATTCTACTTCCTAGTTCAATTGTATCTGTGTTGCAGTTCTGATRCAAGTTTTTGGGATTTTTTAGGCCCCACAACAGAGCTACCAAGATGATGAAGATATTTATGACGAGCCTCCAGAAGAAGAAGGTATGCACTCAAGTTATCAACGATTTTTGTAAAACGTATACTCGATAAACACTTGCCTTTGTAAAACAACTGACTAGTTGGTAAAAGTACACGAAACTTCACCTTCATTCCGATATCATTTACGGCGTTAAACGAACGTTTTCGATCAATGTGTGAATAATGTTAAAACTTTGGTAAAAAAATTTTTCTATACAATTTTGGAAAGGGATATTTTATTCTAGTAAGCAGAACTTTTCAGAAAAGCTTGCCATCAAATGAAAAATATTGACCGGCTGTGAAAAAATTTACATTTGACTCTCGGTATTTAAATTTAAAAAAAACAAACTCGCATACAAAAACGTCAAAATTTTCTTTAAAAGGCACGTCAACTAGCTTAGTACTATAGTCTCAACTCACAAATGTCCTTTGATATTTGTTCATAGTAAMATTTTTATGAAGTAAAATACGAGCAAAAATGGTGGCATAGCTCGGTCTTGAACAAAGGAAGTCTAGCTATCGAAGCGGGAGCTTTACACACTTGACCTTGTAATTCATCATTTATCCTTCCATATCGGTTGATAGACAGTTTGTCACACTACGCGTGTATTCAGCGCTTTTGAGCTAAAATAAACTCAAAAAGAAAACATGTTGCTTCTTGTTCGTCGTTCACAATTTTATTACTCTGGTGGTGATTAGCATTGCCGTTCATCAAGTAAGAATTCCGTAAATAAGTTTTCCTTTAGTATAAAAGAAATATTTCTGACCTAGTTCATATTGCTTATTCATTTCTAATTTCTTAGTTCGATATTAGTTCTTATATCATAATTATTATAATTATTTCTAATTATTGCAACAGACTGCATTCAGCTGATTTTTGTGTATTTTTTCTTGTAGAACTTTATGACGAACCCAGCGATAGTTCTGGTGGAGGTGAGAAAATTTCACGTGCATTAAAAGAAAACAAAAATTCTTTTACATATATTTTTGCTTTAACATTTTAACCAATTTTTAAAGAACTTACAATTTTTGGCAGTTTCAACCAGTTACAGTACATTTAACCTCGATAAAAGACTTATAAGCACGTTCTTATGCAAGTTTAGCTGCTGAACTTTGAACCCTTATAAGCTGACGTTTTCCGTGGAAGTACGAGAACTGAACCATGATTACTAAGGATTTTATTCTCAGGGACGGTAATCCGTAAATCCCGAGCATAGAAAGATAGAACATTTCTAAATCATCCTGACCGAAACTCTGTAGTACGGTCAGTATCGAGATGCCCGTATTAAAGAGGTGTTCGTGTTATACAGGCGTCCTTATTTTAATAYAAAAGAGGTTTACTAATTCTAATAATGTTTATATTGTTTATCTGAAGCGGTTGTTGTAAGACCACCTAAAAAACCTCCCAAACAAGAAGACAAAGGAGAATACTTACTACCTAGAGTGAGTATAAATCGTATTATTAAATCTCCTTTTCAAGTCATTACATACATACTTTACTTTGTACCTGTTAAGACAGTTGCATAACATCAAGATTAATGTACAAGAAAAAAAATATAAATCAGATATATAAATCAATATATGTACAATGATAACTGATTTTGATCAACGAATACATAGATATTGATATTGAAAATTGCACATTGACGTATAAGGTACAGTGTGGCCTAGAATAACTCGTCATTGCGCTGTATGTTTGATGTATTTCTCATTTCCAAATCCGCACAGGAGATGGACGGAGATCAGGATGTATACGAAGCGCCTTTAGAAGAAGAAGAAGGTATCGTCACGGCCAGCGGTCATTTCCTTCCTTCAGAGCATGCGTACCTTTTTGCCTTACAAATGTTTGATGATTCTGGACCAATCAAAGTGGTCCTGACTTTTGATTGGCTAAAACTTCTAAAATGGTCAATGGTCTTGTAGAATGAAGTCTTACTAATCTCAAAGTTCTTATCGTTAACTGATGATTGTTTTAACAGAAATATCTCCAAGACCCCCCGCACGACCGAGCAAAGCCAACAGATTTATCCCTACTCAAGTAGTTCAAGTAAGTCTATACGTGACAATAATAAAGATGGGTTAGTGGTAATGCACTCTCTTCTCACCCGCTTTGGGGTCTCGAGTTTGATTCCTGGACTCGGCATCACATGTGAGTAAAGTTCGTTAGGTCTCTCCCTTGATTCAAGGGTTTTTCTCCTGTTTTTCAAGTTTCCTTCCTCCACAAACTGTACTAACCAACTAACAGTTCYATTCAGTGACCACGAATAATAGTTCCAAGCCGAGGCTAGAGTTACCGCGCATGATAAACTGTAGATTTGCTAKGCGCGGAAACTCCAACCTCGGCTAGAAACTATTATTCATGGTCACTGAATGGAACGGTAAAATGGAGTATTCGATATGTGAGTTAGACTAAGGTCAAACGTCGAACTTCACGAGACGAACCTAATGAGATCAAAGAAGACCGCCTTGTTATCCATTATTTCAATTAGGTCTGGCTCATGTGATGTTCGACGTTTGACCTGAGCCTTAGCTGTGCTCTTACTTTGATTAGTTCAGAGGGTAGTTCAGGGTTCGATAAAATTTGATGGTCTTAGGTTCGTTGCCGGAGTAGACCAAGACTGCATCTACTGATTCCATTCTTTTCAGTACCAAGCTTCAGGGGCGGATCCAGGATTTTGTTCAGGGAGGGGTGTTGCGCACAATGTTAACCCTCTGAGGGGTGCACCCCTTAGAATCAAAGGCAAAAAACAAATTGTAACCAGGGAGGGGTGCGTATCCCCTGCACCCCTCCCCTGGATCCGATCCTGACTGCTTCTATCRAATAAGTACGAGTGGTTCTTTCATATTCTACAGGGAAACAAGTTTGTACCCATCAGAAGCAGCATCRATAACGATGAAAATGAGACGTATGAAATCCCTGAACTTGAAGACCAAGAAGACAGCTATGAAATACCTGGAGAACAGACCGGTAAATATAGTAATAGAGGAAACAGATAGATTAAGATTATCATATCTYATACATATCATTTCATTTTGGTAAATTGTCGTTCTAATTATATAATCTTTATAAAACGTAGTGGTAGTTAACTCAAACGTTTTTACAAATTTGACCACTACTGCACACTTAATTCATTCACGTTCGTAATCATCATATTTGTTTTTTTATTTCTCCTGTAATCTTAAGAATGATTTTCCGTAATTCATAATGTAAACTTGTTAATTCTTTGCAAGAAAATAAAGTCTAAGAAAAGTCACTAAAAGAAAAAAATGAATATAATCAAATTTAATTTTTTTATCTAATTTTGCTATCTTTTTCAGYTCCCCCACCCAGACCGCCAAAAAAGTTCAGCGCTCCTGTCAACACTCCCCTCAAACAAGCTAAACAATCGAAACCATTTCCACCTCAAAAGCCACAGGTTTCGCCTGGAAAGCCTTCATTCAAAGGTAAGAACGCGACCCATGGACCATGTAAATCACAGTCACAATACCTGGTCCAATCAAAATGCTTGGACATGGCAAAGTCACGGTAAGAAAGTGCATAGCAACGCCTGTTATGAATTAATCTTATTAGGTAAGCGAGGTTTATCTATTGTGCAATYGAGACACTCCATCACGGTCACGGTACAGAAGTGGTGATACCCAATCCTGTTGGGTGGCATTCTTCGGCTCTGCTCATAAACTTTCATTGTTTTATTGATTTTTAGTTCCTTCGCCTCAGCCAAGTAATCAAACACAAGGAGCTACGAGACGCTTTCCGGGAACGAGTGCTCAACAAAGTAGTTTATCACCCCAAGGCACACCATTCCGAACTCAGCCACCGCCGCCTGCACAAACAAAGTTCCAGCCACCACTAGGGAGAAAACCTACACCAGAACCGAAAAAAACAGAGTTTGGTGGATACCCTGGACGACAAGAGAGGAGTCCTCCACCAAGTCCTGTGAAATCTACAGGTGCAAGTATAGCTCCAGTGCCGGGCCCTAGAGCTGGGATCTTGAGTAAGTCGGAACCCCGTCCGTCTCCAAGAGGATCCCCTCTTCCTCCAGCAGCCCACAGGAAGCAGGCACCCCTACCAACAGAAAGACCTCCTCCACCAGAACCCAGGGCTACGCCAGGAGTGGAACCCGTGCCGCCTAACCATAGAGGTTTACCCTCTGTGCCATCGCCACAGATGACAGAACCAGTACCTCCCAGACCCCCGAAGATAGGCCACCCTGCTGGTAMCCCACAGCCAATGCTACCGCCCAGACAGGTAAGACAATAGATGACGAACCTTTACAGCTCTCCTCAAAGAAACATCCGGTGCAGTTGGCTTCTGAGGGAGGGCACGTTGACCAGCTATATAAAAATGCTACTAGGAATTACATAATACCTAGCATAGCCTTTTTTGAGAAATATGAATAAACGTCGTTTGATAAGGGAGAGGACCTTTGCTTAGGAAATACGTAATGTAAACAGATGAAATGTAATGTAAACAGGTGAAAAAGATGATTTGAATGAATTTTTTTGTTTAACAGGGAGTTCCTCTGCCTGCTCCGCCTTCTGCTCCCTCTAGTCTGAGGTAAGACAGATGACTTCACCTTGACAACCAAAGAGAAAAGGAAGGCCTTTGTTACTTTGTCAGAATGTGTATTATTTCAGACCGCGTGTTATTCTTTAGAGTATCATTTCTTTCTTTAATGTTTGAGCATGAGAAAATACATGAATATGGATACGACTCTAATGTTTATTTCTTTGGGGAATGATATATGGGGTCTAAATGGGAAAACATTACGTCCTAAGAGGTGTATTCTAGCATTAACACAGGACCTGCTGACGGCCCACCATCGCAAGTGCTGTAGCCACTGGAGCACAAAGACCACGCATATTACTAGGTAGCAACCATCCCTAAAGTGTAGTCATAAGATTCTAACAGTTTCCTTCTTGTTATCTCTCAGAGACCAAAGAGAGCAGTCATCTGCTTCAAGTATTGGTAAGTTGATTGATATTCTGGTGCGAGGTTAACAGGAAATATGTAAGAAAATCCTCGCCGACAAGTGCTTTCTCTTTTGTCTTCCTGCTTGCTTCAAAAGGTTCACGTATGTTTTTGATTTGTTTTGGTTCGTTGTTATTTCATTTACCAACGGCAAAAATCTATTTGACAAGTAACAAAACCTATTGTTAGAATGGTTGACACATTAAATCACAATGGCAATGTGTAGAAACATTACGTTCACCTGTAATAGATCTTTAAAGTCTTCCATTGTTAAATATGKAATAGTCCTGATGAAAGGCCGTGTGTCATTCCCTTGAGTCTTATTCCTTTTGTTTACACATCTTGTTTAAGAGAAACATGTATGTGACGACTGGAACAAGAAWGCACTTTATACCATGACATCCGGTCCAAGTGGTCTGGAACCATTGTGAAGATCGGTGTATGGTCCTTGACACCGACTGCCACTGTGATGGTTATCTGACCAGTTTGTCTTTTTGTTTTGTTTTTTGTTTTTGGCTTTTTAGAGTCTACCTCTGCAGATGAACCCGTCATCTCACTACAGCATCTTCCTAAACCAGGAAAACGAAGTCTTCCACCCACTCCCACCGTAGATTCTAAGGTAGACTATAAGCATGCATCAAATATTTAGCAATAGACCATGGAAATATATTAGATACTGATGTTCTGTCCCCTGCCAATTAAAATTTATTGACTCAAATCTTTGCGAGCCGTAACA